GGGGGGGGGGGGGGGGGGTCGGGTCGGGGCGGGGGGTCGGGTCGGGGCGGGGACTCTGCTTCTCTGGGCGACCGTGCTCCGTGGGCGGTCGCGGGTCGGAGATTTTTACCGGAGAATGATTTAGCGTGCAGCTCTACGAGACTATGTCTGATCTTGTACGTAACGTAAGCGCGCGATTCTACATCAAATTAGTACCCGCAGGCTCCACACCGATCACCGCTCAGCGCTCTACCGCTCTAGGTCTACGACTGTAGCACTGCTCTGGCACTGGCTGCCTGCGTCGAAGTTGAGCGTGCAGGTGATGATTAGTTTGGCGCGTCTCACGGCCCAGCCGCCCTGGGGCCCTCTCACGCCACCGGCGCAGCGGACCGGCCTCGGGCGTCACTCAGCCATCCATCCTCCAGTTGATGAGCTGCGCCGCGCGGAAGGGCACCACCTCCTCGTTGCCGAGGGGGAGGGAGTGGGCCATCTTCCACGTCTCTCGGCGCAGCGTCACCACCTCGTCGTTGGCGGGCACGCCGTAGAAGGCGGGGCCGTGCAGCGAGCAGAAGGCCTCGAGGTGCTCGAGGGCACCCGCCTCCTCGAACGCCTACTCTCGCGCAATCTCGCGCAATCTCGCGCAATCTCGGGCACTCTGAGGTAGTCTCTCGGGTGCTCTCGGGCACTCTCGGGGTACTCTCGGGCACTCTCGGCGGCAACTGGTCCGCGTACACGCCTCCGCATACAGCTCGAGAGCCTACAGGGAAGGTTCCGGGAAGCCTCCGGGACGGCGGGAGCAAGCGACCACCCCCGCGCCGCAGCTCGAGCGCCGCGTTGGCGTTGAAGATGCCCGCGCATCCGCACCCCGTCTCCTTGCGGCCGATCGCGTGCGGCGCAGAGTCCGTGCCTAGTCGAGATATGGGGAGATGTGGGGAGATATGGGGAGATGTGGGGAGATCGCGTGCGGCGCAGAGTCGGTGCCGAGGAAGAGGCGCGGGCACCCTGTCCGCAGGGCGTCGAGCAGCGCTCGCCGGTCCTGTACCGGGGGGTGGGAGGGTGGGTTCGGGTACCGTGGGGTAGGGTAGGGTGGGTTCGGGTACCGTGGGGTAGGGTAGGGTGGGTTCGGGTACCGTGGGGTAGGGTAGGGTGGGTTCGGGTACCGTGGGGTAGGGTAAGGTGGGTTCGGGTACCGTGGGGTAGGGGACCGTGGCGTCAATGTGTGGTGCCAGCCGTCTATGGCTTGCACGGGACGCGCCGCTTGTCCGACTAGCTCTCTTTTTGCTTGCGAACGCCAGTGAGCCCTGCTGGTGGTACCGTGAGTCTGGGGTGGGGGTTGTGAGTGTCGTTGCATGCTCCGGGCTGAAGGGTGGGGGGGGGGGG